TTGCAGACAGTGTGATGGCTTGGACCACAAGCATGGAGCAAGAAGCTAGACTGACTTATTCACAATTATAGATATAAAAGTCATTGCTTTCACAATGATAACTTCCCAAATCATGTAAGACAAGAGGATTTTTTTTGCTGAAAATAATTATTATTTTTCTTGTGAAGGAGATTATCACATTTTAAAAGCAGGAATGTATGCTATTTTTCTAAAAATTAATCGAACATTGTTGAAAACATCTCTGATTTCAAATTTTGCAAAGAAATTAGAATACTACAGTTTACACTAGAGAACTATACTTTTAAAAAATATATATTCTAGCCTTACCTATATATATATTTATTATAATAATAATAATAATTATTATTATTATTATTTTGAGACAGAGTCTGACTCTGTCACCCAGGCTGGAGTTCAGTGGCGCAATCTTGGCTCACTGCAACCTTCGCCTCCCAGGTTCAAGCGATTCTCCTGCTTCAGCCTCCCGAGTAGCTGGGATTACAGGCACCTGCCTCTGCACCTGGCTAACTTTTGTATTTTTATTAGAAATGGAGTTTAACTATCTTGGCTAGGTTGGGCTTGATCTTCTGACCTCGTGATCCACCCTTCTCCTCCTCCCAAAATGTTGGGATTACAGGCGTGAGCCACTGTGCCCGACCTTGTTTTATTTTTAGAAAGGCAGTATTTGAAAATCAGTTGTGAATTCAAAATTTGCCTTATTCACAAGCAGAAATGTTAATGGTGTCTCTTTTTCTCCTCATTGAATATGCTGTTAACTTTTCATTTGGCATAATGCATATTTGTTAAAATAAAAAGATGTCTATTCAAAAATGTAACAAATTAGTATGTTAAAGTTTTGCTCCACAAAAAATAAAATAAGGCAACAGGAAACAAAACATTTGTTTTCTTCTCTTAGCCAATACAATTTAATATTACCTAAATCTAAAATACGGAATATCTTTATAAACATATAAGGGTTTTTGTTTGCTTATTCTTACTACTCAGGCTTTAATTAATTTATTTTGTATTGTCCCTTAATTTTTGGCCTCATAAGATTACAAATAGCTAGAGAGGAAGAAAGAGAAAAAAGAAAGGACAAGAAAGAAAAGAAAACAGAAAAAACAAAGCTAGAAGTATTACATTACCTGACTTCAAACTATACTGTATAACTACAGTAACCAAAAGAGCATGACTGGTACAGAAACAGACATATACAACATTGAAAAAGAATAGGAAATTCAGAAATAAAGCTGTACACCTACAGCCATCTGACATTTCAGAAAGTCAAAAAAAAATGTGACCATCTGTTCATTAAATGTTGCTAGGATAGCTGGCTATTCATATGCAGAAAAATGAAACCTCACCCCTACTTTTCACCATATACAAAAATTAACTTAAGATAAATTAAAGTTTAAATGTAAGAGCTCAAAAAGTAAGAAGCCTAGAAGAAAACCTAAGAAACATCATTCTGGACATGGGCCTTGGGAAAGAATTTGTGACTAAATGCATCCAGCAATTTAGCAATTGCTAAATGAGCAACTGCAACAAAAACAAAAATTCACAAGTGGGACTTAATTAAATGAAGAGTTTCTGCACAGCCAAAGAAACTATCAACAGAGGAAACAACCTACAGGATGAAAGAAAATATTCACAAACTATGACAAAGGTCTAATATCCAGAATTTATAAGAAACTTAAATGATTCAAGAAGCAAAACAATAAATAACTCCATTAAAAAGTGATCAAAAGATATGGACACTTTTCTATACAATACATGCAAGTGGCCAAAGAAACATATGAAAAAACACTCAACATCACTAATCATCATAGAAATGTAAATCAAAACCACAATAAGATGCCATGTCACACGAGTCAGAATGGCTATTGTTAAAAAGCCAAAAAAACAACAGATGCTGGCGAGGCTGCCAACAAAAGGTAACATTTATACAATGTTGGTGGGAATGTAAATCAGTTCAGTCACTGCAGAAAGCACTTTGGAGATTTCTCAAAGAACGTGAAACAGAACTACCATCCAACCCAGCAATCCCATTACTGTGTATATATCCAAAAGAAAACAAGTTGTTCTGTTGCGGCTTTCTTACTCCTGTAGTTTGATGAGCAGGAGGGAGTGGTGCCTAGCAGCTTCTTCACTCCCATAGTTTGACGAGTGAGAGGAAGTGTTATAGCTCTTTCATTCCTGCAGTTCCATGAGTTCCAAGTTCTTTTCTCAAGACCAGGAGGAATGAGGTACGTGGACACTGGAGAGTATGTAAGGCTCAGTAAAATTTATTGAGTGAAAGAAACACTCTCAACAGTGAGAGGAGACCCAAAAGTGGGTAGGTAGCCTTATGTGAGGCTGAGTCCAGGCTTTTTATGGGCTTAGAATGGGAAATGCATGCTGATTGTTATTGGTGAGCTTGGAAAAGACACTGTTCGATTGGTTAAAAGGCATCATTCAGAAAGAATCAATTGAGAGGGTGGTTAAGCTGGGGATGGGGGTTCTCCCTGTCAGTAGAGTCTATCTGGAACTAGTAGCTTGGTTTTTGGGTTTTAGACTGTCCTGGGCTTGAAGGTGGAGGTTCACCTGGACCCAACCCTGTCAGCCTAGGAATTTATCTGTCTCCTGTTGCTATCAGTTCTACCAAAAGGACACATGCATTTGTAAGTTGAATACAGAGCAATTAACAATAGCAAAGACATGGAATCAAACGAGGTGTCCATCAACAGTGGACTGGATGTGGCAAATATACACTATGTATCACCAAGAAAATGTGGCATATATACTCCATGGAATACTACACAGTCTTAAAAAGGAATGAAATCATATCCTTTGCAGTAACATGAATGCAGCTGAAGGATATAATCCTAGGTAAATTGCTGCTGGAACAAAAACCAAATATATATTTTCACTTATAAGTGGGAGGTAAACATTGTGTACTTGTGGACATATAGATGGGAACAATAGACACTGGAGACTATTAGAGTGGGGAGTAAAGAGTGGGGCAAGGATTGGAAAATGAACTCTTTTGTACCATGCTCACTACCTGGGTGATGAGATCATTTGTATCCTAAGTCTCAGCATCACACAATATATCCATATTACAAACTTAGACATGAGCCCCTCAAATATGATAAAAACTGAAGTTAATTTTTTAAAAAGAAAACATCAGTCCTATAACTGCAAGGAACTAAATTCGGAAAACACATTGAATGAACTGGAAAGAGGACCCCCAGAGTCTCAGATGGAACCACAGACCTGACCAAGAAATTGATTTCTGCCTGGGAAGACCCTGAGCAGCAGGCCCATTTCTTCTTTACCTGCACTCGTAACCCATGGCAATTCTGAAATCATAAATTTTTGCTGTTTAAGTTGTTAAAAAAAAAAAAAAACACACACACACAAAACCCACACAAATGGAGAATGAGGAAGAGCTCTGCCATAATGATCACACAAATATAAGGCCTTAGAATGTCAGGTTATGATACTGATCTCTGTAAAAGAAGTTGTTGCTTGCATAGCCCTGCATTTTGTGCTTCCTCGTGACTTTTTAGAAGCAAATTTGGGTGGTTTAGAAACATAAACATGGTGGTAACACAATTTTTAATACAAACCGATCATACTTCGCTCTCAGAATGTAAATTTATGAAACAGTATGTATCCCACCTACCTTTACTCAGATCTATTCTAAGTTACTAGGAAAGTGAACCATGGTAAATTTGCATGAATAACAATGCTTTCTGTGCTTGAATTAGTCCATCTTCCTAGAAGCATTACCACAACTATATTTTACTTCTCAGAGTCAACTTGTACATACCAATTGAATTGCGCACCCTTCTGGTTAGATCATCACATCCCAAATAAACTCAGTCATCAGCAATCACCTTTATCTCCCACTTGCCTTTATGCAATTATCTTAGCAAGAGTCATCAGGGGCAAACAAATTTCCATTGTTGTCTTTAGCAAGAATGTAATGTAGAACAAGTAAGCTATGGAAGCACTAATCTAGACAAACAGTGAGCTTTTAAAGATTTTTAACCAGGGCCAAATGGGATGCAATTTAGAACTCTGTTGATCACATTTGAATGCATGCCCAGTTCAATGGCATTTAGTTGAACAGTGCTTCTTATCTGGTTGATCAACTATAGACATTAAAAGCTTGATTTAAGTTGCTATATACAAAGTCAAAGAATTTAACGTTAGTGAAAAGGAGCTGGAAGCAAAGAAAAGTTTCAAATGAAATTATCAATCAGTGGTTTAATGAGACAATATGGGATTGCCAAAGCTCAGACTTTGTGTCAGAAATGTATACTGGCTCATCTTTTCATTATGACAAGGGCAGGAAAATCTTTTGTCAGAGAGAGTTCACCCTACTAACATAAAAAATGTGTAAATGAATACCCATCAAGGAGTAGAGTTAGGGTAAGAAAACAGACCATGGAAACAAAACATTATTAACTATCAAATTATGCAAAATGATGACAAATGGGATTATATTAAGACACTAAAATTCTAAATATAATTCCATTTTCAAAATTTTAAACTCTCTTTCGGTAAACTGTTCATCAATATTCTATGGCCATGAAAAAGAAATGAAGTATTTACTTCTTTCTGAGAATTTACATATTTCACATGAAATCTAGTTTGAGGATTATGTATATGTGTAAAGTACTCTGCAAAATAACATCCAACACTAACTTCCAACTTAAAATATATGTATCTACACTCATTTGTGATTTCCTCCGGTGACTAAACTTAGCCCAATTTTAAGCACATTGTGAATGAACACTGTGTCATCTTTCACAATATGGGTGCATGTGGAGGAGAAAATATGCTTAGTAATTAGAGTCCGTACATGAGGTAAAGCATCACCCTGTTACATTGAACCTCTTAGTTTATGAAAGAGTTACCTTTAGATACTGTTCTCTGAGCTAGGACTTTTACGTGTGACCATTTATAATAGGACCCTATTTATAATAGGGACAACAATATCCACTGCAATTTTACTGCCTCACATATGTCTTGGTGATTGCTTTGTTGGCTGCTTCTTTCACATCCTTATTTCTCAGACTGTAGATCATTGGATTCAACATAGGAATTACTGTGGTGTAAAACACGGCCACCATTTTCCCCCGCTCTATGGATTCCTCAGTGGGTCTCCTGAGATACATGAAGATGAGGGTCCCATAAAACATAGAAACAGCCATCAAGTGGGACCCACAGGTGGAGAATGCCTTCCTCCTGCCATCGGCAGAGTGCATGCGTAGCACAGCTACTACAATGAGAGTATAGGAGATGAGGACCACTGACAGGGAATATGTGAAGTTAATTCCAGCAATAACAATCATTGTGATTTCTTTGATGTGCACTCCCCCACAGGCAATCTTGATGAGAGGAGGATCTGCACAATAGAAGTGATTGACTTCAAAGTTTCCACAGAAGTACAAGCCATAAGTCCATAGTGTGCATATTAGGCTGACAGAGAATCCATAGACATAAGGCACAGAGATGAGCCGAACACACACAGTCCTGGACATTTTACTGCCATAAAGCAGAGGGTTGCAGATGGCCATGTACCTGTCAAAGGCCATCACAGCCAGGATATAGACCTCCACGTGGACAAGCGCAATGAAAAAGTAGCACTGAACTAAGCATCCCACATAGGAAATGCTTTTTGTCTCTGATAATAAGTTTTCCAGCATTTTGGGGGTAACGTTGGAGGAGAAGCACACGTCCACAAAAGACAGATGACTCAGGAAAAAGTACATGGGGCTCTGAAGCTGAGGACTGATGCCAATCAAAATGATCATACCAGTATTTCCAAGCAGAGTGATCATGTAAACCGCTAGGAACACCACAAAAAGGAGAACCTGTAGCTCCTGACGACAGGTCAGCCCCAGGAGGGTAAATTCTGTCACATCCGTGAAATTAGGCATTGCCTTAGTATAGGCCAAGTCTGTGTTGCCTATGGAGAAATTTTTTTTAAAAGAAGGCAAATGGATTTGTTTTATTCTTGAAACTTTGAGTTGCCTTTGTCCTTATTTTAATTCAAATAATTTAAAAACAATGTACACTTTGCAAAATGTACAACACGGGGTTTAAATATACTATATGTAAAATGAACTGAATACATAACATAATAGGCACTTCAGTTTTAGTTCTGAGCTAAGTTCCCTTTGCTATAGATGTCCATGATTGTAGTTTCACTTTTTTGGCTCACCATAAATGTCAAACTAGGTAAAGAGCTGCAGATGCTGTGGTCAGAGATTTTCCTATGTAAAAATGTCTGCTCTCTACTGATTTCCTGTCACTAATAGAATGTGACTTGGGTTAATGTTACTACTGTATTAAGTATAAAATGTATGAAATAAAGCATCAAGGCATCTAAGAGACATAAACTAACACTACTTCATTTTGTTTCAGTCATTGTGTGATGTACTTTTCTTATTTTACACAAAATCATTAGCGCTTTAGCATTTAGCAAAAGTTATTGCGGGTTTTGCTGTTACTTTCAATGGCAAAAATGCAATTACTTTTGTACCAACCTGATATTAGTTTGTTTTGCTTACCTTAAAACTCCTTAAACTGTCTTGCTAAGTAGTTACATTTAATGGAAATTCAGAAATAGTTATACATGCGATTTCTACATGCCCTGATCTTTAGATTCACTAAACATAATACAATAATCCAGTATAATTAAAACTCTCTAAGAAATATTTTTCTAGAGGCAACAGTCTCAGTCTTGAAATATTTGTAAGAATAGCTATTACTGAATGTTCATAAAAACTCTTACATGAAAACGTCCTATAAAACAGGTTTTATTTGCGTGCCCATTTTGCAAATGAGGAAACTAAACACTGAGAGATTAAGAAAGTCTCCCTTGGTCAGAGATCTACTAATTAGCAGAACTGGGATGCAAAAAAAATCACTTTTGTGTTGTGTCTTTGACAATATTCCGTTGCTGCATCTTTCATAGCCTCTTCTACCGTTACATTTATTTTCATTTAAAATTCAGTTTGCTCATCCTCCACAATAGGAGGAAGTTATGTCTTTCACAGTTCATCTTCAATGGACTTTTAAGAGCTTTGGTTACCCTAAAGCAGCCTAAACCACTGAGATAGTAAATCACTACAACTCTCTACTGCTCCAAGTTTATCATCCCAGGATCAGATGATAATGATTTCCAGGAGAAAATAAATTTAATACATAAATTTGTATCATCTATCAAAATAATCAAGAAAATTGAATTTGCAATTTACAAATAAAACCCAAAATTCATTTCTATTAACATTTCAGGAGTTTTTAATGAAGAAAAACAGTGAAGGTATAAATTACTGGAGCAATCATGCCCCTATATCCCCAACTCCATTCATACATATATTTAAACAATATAATGAAAGTTAATAGTTTTTGCCTGTAAAGGAGAATGAGAAGATAAAAAATGTGAAATGAAATGAAGAGTTTTGCAAATCTTCATTATAATAAGCTCATTCTTAGAAAGTTTTGAATAAACCAGGGATAGAAATACAAAAAGTTCCCAGTAATATAATTTCATACAAGAAGACACTCTGGTAACAAATAAGTCTGTGAATAAGGTATTAGTTTCCTCTTCAAGACAGAGAGTGAAATTAAAACGTTTGACTACATCAATCTCTGTTGTAATGAGTGAAGAACTTGCAGACCTACCTTCAGCATACAGAGTAGCAAATGATAACTTCTCACTATTTATAATAATGTCTTAAACATTAGGAACACTGGGATCATCTCCCTAAGGGACTATTCAGGTAATTACGAAAAAAATAAATAAATAAGTAAAATTCTAGACACAGCTCAGGTGTAGGAGCAGTTAAGGAGTGTGAATAAGAAGAATTTTTAAATAAAATAGATCAAAATTCTTCATCAACAATGTAATCTTATCTCTCACTTTCACGTGGGTTCTGTGCTCTTTTATTTACACATTGACAATGATGCATTTCAGCAAGATATTGGTTTGAATCATTTAAAATTCGGTGAGTCCCTTTCTGGCTGGACAACTGTTCTAAAAAGTGCCATCTGTCAGGACAGATCATCGGAATGCGTGTCCCATGCATCTCATGGTTATGTTCAGATGTCAGATGCCTCAAAGAATAAATCCTTGGTAAAATGAGTACATGTAGAAGTCATTACTGAAGTCGGTCAGGTCTGGGATTATACCTTTGGTATAACACTTTCACTGTGTTACCTTGGACGAGCGATGCACTTCTGAGCCTCAGTGTACTCATCTGTAGAATAGGGAAACTATTATCTTACATTTGGTTGAGATGATCTTAGAATAATATAGGGATAACTCTCTTCCCAATGACTGCACACAAAAAGTGTTCATTATTTGTGCAGTTTTACCTCTAAACAGTTCACTAGTATTATCTTACCACTTCTTTAGGATTCTGACTAATATTATCCTTACCTTGAAGAATAACATTATTCCCATGTGAAATAAGTATGATGTGCCTGGCACAGTGGCTTCTGCCTGTAATCCAGCACTTTGGGAGGCCAAGGGGGCTGGATCACCTGGGGTCAGGAGTTCAAGACCAGCCCGGCCAACATGGTGACACCATGTCTCTACAAAAATACAAAAAGTAGCTGGTCATAATGTCAGGTGCCGGTAATCCCAGCTATTTGGGAGGCTGAGGCAGGAGAATTGCTTGAACCTGGGAGGCAGAGGTTGTAGTGGGTCGAGATAGCACCACTGCACTCCAGCCTGGGCGCCAGAGCAAAACTCCCTCTCAAGAGAAAGAAAAAATGAGAGAGAGAGATAAGTAAGGTTTACAACCTTAAAAGTAAGTGGATGGGTGACAAAAAGTGACTTGTCCAAGGTCTTCCACAAATGCACTTGAAATTTGGAGACTCAAACCAGAAACATGGTTTGACCATGGACCTTGACTCATCATTCTTTATGTTATCTAAACTAACTCTCCAAAAGAATAAACAGAAATGCATTTTGCCTTTGAAAAAAAGAGGTAACAAAGACGGTTCAAATTTACCTGCCAACATGCTGAAAGTGATCAAATGCTTTCAATACACATTTTGAAATTTATTAATAACAAAAAACTAATTTGGCATATCAAGAGTTCCCCCAAAATGGCAAATAAATGTTTTTATTGCCAAGATAAATTACTTTTAACTTTGGAGTAATCCCAAAAGAATGAGTACCTCAGACATTAAAAGTCTCCAGAGGTTTGACATATTTCAACCAGAGGCACAGTAATACTATAATCGAATCTAAATTAGTAATTTGTTTATGTATGCAAAAGGTTTTAAAATGCTGCCCATTATTTATGTGTACGTATGTGGAAATGAGTTCATTGCACTTAATAGTTTCTCTTGATGTAAATAAAATTCAATCATGGACAAAGAAGAATGCTTTTTTCACACTTCCATCAATAGCAGATAAACGTTTGTTTTTCTTCACAACCTTATGAGCATCTAATTTTTTTGACTTTTTGATAATAGCCATTCTTACTGATGTGAGATGGTATCTCACTGTAGTTTTGATTTCCATTTTGTTAATCATCAGTGATGTTGAGCTTTTTCATGTGATTCTTGGCTTCATGTATCTTAGTTCAACCATTGTGGAAGACAGTGTGGTGATTCCTCAAACACCTCAAAACAGAAATATCTAGCAATTCCATGCCTGGGTATATGCCCAAATGAATATAAATTGTTCTACTATAAAGACACATGCACATGTATATTCATTGCAGCACTATCCACAATAGCAAACACAGGTAATCAACCTAAAAACCCATCAGTGATAGACTAGATAAAGAAAATATACATATACATCATGGAATACTAGGCAACCATAAGAAAAACAATGAGATCTTGTCCTTTGCGAGAACATAGATGGAGCTTGAGACCATTATCTTTAGCAAACTAATGCGGGAACAGGACACCAAATACCTCGTTTTCTCACTTAGAAGTGTGAGCTAAACGTTGAGAGTAAGTACATGGACACATAGAGGGGAGCAACGCACATTGAGGCCTATGAGAGGGTAGAGGTTGGAAGGAGGGGGAGGATCAGGATAAATAATTAATGGGTGCTAGGTTTAATACCTGGGTGATGAAATAATCTGTACCACAACCCTCTATGACACAAGTTTACCTATGGAACAAACCTGCGCACCTACCCTTGAACTTAAAATAAAAGTTAAATCAAAAGAATGCTTTTTTCTCAGATGACGCCAATCTTATTTTATATTCACATCTTTGCAGATAATTCTTAATTTTTAAATTTATAATTTAAAATGTATAAATTACATTTCTTTAACTGTATATTGTTTGCATCAAAACAGGTGATTATTTATTTATTTGACCTGAGGATGTAGACTTGATGAAATAAGCTAAGTTGTAGCTTCATCCTTATGCTTCATGACATAAGGTTCAAGAGAGATGTCAAATTATGTTCCTATTACGTCAGAAAATGTTATTGATAACAACAAATAGTGCATCCTAAATACTGAATTTATTTCAAATGTAAAAGTTAACTAGAATATGTAGGTGCCATGTGTTGGTCACAGGTATACCAAATATCCCACATGAGTGGAATGTAATTCATTCTGTGGAATTTGGAGAGCCATGGTTTTACAATGACAGCTTATTCCACTAATTATCCTCCTACTCTTCAGTCAGAGTGAAGATACTAGCAGGGGCAAACCAGAGTCTGGTGATGGGCAATCGTCGAGTTGAAACACAGCAGTTCCCAGGATCTGTGAAAGAGAGACACTTACCATGTTGTGTTTCTTAACACCAAAAAGTTAAAAAGCATGAAATACAATATTATTTTCCAAGTAGTAGTCTCTGAACAGACCCTACACAACATAATGAAAGATGCATTAAACAATAAATAATCTCATAACAATTAGACCAATATTTTATGTCTTCATATTGAAAAACCAAATTAAATATCATGGGTTTTTTTTTCTGCCCCAAATTTGTTTTTAAGTGGGCAAATAAATATTTCTTAAATTCATGCAACTGTACTTTTCATTAAGAAAAAGCCTTTTGGTTGCAGCTAAGTATTTGAGCAACTTCCCTTAGTACACCTATGAACTTTGGCACACATCACCGTTTCAATTAATTTATTCGTATGTAATTAATCTCCATACATCAACAGAAATGAATCATTCCACCTTACATTTTCTCAATTTGCACCATTTTTGTTTTTCTTTTCAACCCACAGAATATCTTTATCTTAGTGTTCATAGGCACTGGGTAATAACCGTTTTCCAAACAAATAATAGAAGATAAAATTAAATCAAATTTGATTTTATTTTGTTTAACATGATCTACTGATCACTTTTGTCATGGCCTCTTTCACATCCTTGTTCCTCAGACTATAGATCATGGGATTCAACATGGGGATCACTGTGGTATAGAACACAGCCACCATCTTCCCCTGCTCCACTGACTCCTCTGAGGGATGTCTGAGGTACATGAAGATCAGAGTACCATAGAATATGACGACAGCTGTCAGATGGGACCCGCATGTGGAAAAGGCCTTCCGCCTTCCTTCTGCTGAGCGCATTCGCAGAATGGCAATGAGGATAAATAAATAAGAGATGATAATTACAGTCAGGGAATATGTGAAGTTAATGCCAGCAAGTATGATCATTGTATATTCTTTTACAAATGTCCCGGCACAGGCCATTTTGATGAGAGGTGGATCTGCACAGTAGAAATGGTTGATCTCAATTTTTCCACAGAAGTACAAGCCATAAGTCCATAATGTTGCTGCCAGACTCGTCAGAAAACCATAAATGTAAGGGAAGGAAATCAGTCGAATACAGACAACCCTTGACATTTTACTGCCATAAAGCAGAGGATTTCCAATCGCCATGTATCTATCAAAGGCCATCACAGCAAGAATAAAAATTTCCACATGGACAAGAGCAATGAAGAAGAAACACTGTACTAAACAGCCAGCATAAGAAATTGTTTTTTTATCTGATAACAGGTTTTCCAACATTTTAGGGGTGACATTGGAAGAAAACCACACATCAACAAATGACAAGTGACTGAGGAAAAAGTACATGGGGCTGTTAAGCTGAGGACTGACCTTGATTATCATGATCATGCCAATATTGCCCACCATGGTGATAATGTAGACCACAAGGAAGACGATGAAGAAGAGAACTTGCCATTCCCGATGGCTGGTTAGCCCCAAAAGAATGAACTCTGTCACATCGGTGAAATTGAGCATTTTCTCAATTCTAAGTCAATATCAGTTACAAAATTTTTGATAACTAAAATAAAATAGACGAAAAAATTAGAATGTTTATTTATTTGTACCTTTAGATCCTCCCTTTATACAATATCTATAAGCACACTGCATTATTTTCACCAATCTTTTCTCAGTGCCTGTTACGTAATAGGCTCTACAATGAATAAATGTGGACAGTCCCTATTATGTAATAATTATACAAAGTATAATTGTATACGCTGATATTAAGTATTGTGAGTAGTCATATTTCCAAGATTACTTAACTTCTTAAATTTCCCTCATTTCCAATGATGGCATGTTTGGAGTTTTATATTTTAAAGATAGTTACAGGGGATTATAGTTATTTTCATAATAGAACTTAAAAAGTGTACATTTTTACCTAATCTCTTGTTCATTATAAACATATTCTCAATGATTAGAGAAGAAAATCATATTATTAAATAATTCATCAGCCTAAAATGTTATAAAATATTTTTAATCTCATTTGCATTATTTTCAAGTAAAGAACAAAAAACTGATGATAGTAGCCATCAAAGTCAAGTTAAAGGGTGAATTATTTGTCCATGTTCACACTGTATCAACATGTCCTGGATATGGACTCCCTCCTAACTCTAGTATAAAATTATAATCCACTAGATATTATATACTGTTATGTTCTAGAGATTCAAAGAGATGTACAACATACAGATTAATGTCAGTACTTATGAAGCTACTAATGTAAATAAATACTTTCTAAAACTTGGATGTATTCTTACAGAGGTATAATAGGGACAGAAATTTAGGAAGTGATTGATTCTCCTTTGAGGGTTCAGTGGAATTCTAGGAAGATTTCTTGTATATTTTGCAAATTTATTTTCAAATATAGGATGTATCATATAGGAAATTTCTTCTAGAAAATATTACTCAAATTATATTTCTCAGAAAACATTAGTGTTTGGCATGATCTTACTAGATATAATAGAGAATAATCCACAAGTTTTTCTCCATCAAATGGGACATCTCTTTGCCCTGTCAAATCTCTTAGTGATTCACAGTCTACCTAGTAAAGTTATTTACTGTACACATCGTTCGTTTAATATACAAATTTACACTCACACGCTCCCACACACACCTCTATGTATATACATATGTGTGTTTATATATACACATACACCTATAAGTATGTAAACATACATAAAGCTTATATATATTTCTCTCATATGTATGAGATATTAATTAGATATTTTGTCATTAATTAGATATTTTGTCAATGAGCAGTCACATTCTGCGGAACACAGAGTGTAAATATATCTAATAAGAATCTTGAGACAGCCTTTCAGCAGGAAATATATTTGTTGGAGATGGGATTGTGTAAAACCTTCTAATGGCTATATATTATCTCTACAGCAAACGATTATTCCCAAGACCCTTCTTGTAATCTGCAACGTTAAACTGTATTCAATCACAATGTGATGAAATTTATCCATATTATTACTGCTTAGCAGTTACCCAAAAAAATAGCAGTCAGGAAGGTAAATCTCAATGGATAGTGAAAATAAGTGAACGCTTATCCATAGTAATAATCCAAAACTTTTCAACCACAAACTTGGAAAGAACAATTTTCTATGACTAGAGGAGAAAATTACTAACTGAAACAGGTTACATTCTACATGGCTCCAGAGGTTTGATCTAATTAATAAAAATTTGAAGGATTAATTACTGGGTACATTTTTTTAAGTGAATAATAAAGTTCTAAAAACTATGTATACTGCCTTAGAATATGTTTATATATAGACTGCAAAATCTGTTAGAGTCGTTAAAATCTCTAAGATCCTTAGATTCATATCCAAACAGAGATTACAGACATATCAACAGATAACTCCAGATTTCTGATTCAACAGTTTATGCCTATGGCTGCCCGAAATGTTCTTGCTGGCAATAGAAGGATTCTTACTTGGAAAGTCATATCTCATTCCATGCTGAAGGGTGATTCAGCACAAACAAGGATGTAGAAGATGCCATTGTCAGTACTCCCCACAAGCTAAATACAAAGAGCCCTGCATGATGGTTATCCAGGTGATGAATAGCATTAGTAAAATTACAGGAAACTAGGGGTTAGATATGATCCTAGGGGGTGCAAGCTGTACAAAGAAATAGAGATTAGGGGACCTCAAGAGTATTTAGAGAATTTCCTCATTACCTAAATTAAAAAATACACACATAACCTTCCCTTATTAAATTACTGTATTTCAAATTAAATTGCCAATAAATATGGATTCTTTTCCAGACCAGGTATGAAGCAATATTAACTATCCTAGTTAAAGAATTCTGTTTCTATCATCAGAGCTTGGTTGAATCCAGGCTCTTTGACTTATTTTATAAAACTGCACTTGTCTTATTGTTTTGTTTTGCTTCTACTTTTTATGTTCCTCAGTAGGACTTAATAATAATATTCATTTCATTGTGTGTTTGTGAATATGAAAAGATATATATTAACACAATACATATGAAAATGATTATCAGATACACTCCTTTATTCATTTGTAATTATCAAATAATATAGCCTTACTGAAAATGTGTCTCTCTTTTATGTATCTCAACACATACACACATAACATAACGTATATAAAATCATGAGTGCATTCCTATAAATTGTAAAAGAAAATAAAATCTCCATTGTAAGCTCCATCTGACAATTCCAGATAGATACATTTTTCACCAACCTGAGAATGAAGAGAAATATTCCCAATGTGGATGCAGAGTTGAAAAGTGCATGCTATATATGGGAATGGCAAACACTTTAAACCTGACGAAAGAGAAACTGGGAAAAGTCCACAGTAGAAGTCTCCCTTGACTGCTTGATTAGAAAGCAAGGAGCAATTAAGATTTTTTTCCCCATAGAAATGGTCCTGTGGAAAAAGTGCATCTCTAAAGAGAAAGCCAACTGTTGAATGTGTGGGTTTTTTTCATTAGAGTTTTCTACAATTTTATTTTCCCCCTAACTCCAGTTATTTCGAATGAGTACTAAAATCAAATACAATTTGGGAGGGGATTTGTATCACACTAAACCTGTTTATGGGCTAATCCAGACTGTGTATATCCAGTTCATGCTCTATACTTCACATTCTTTGCTGTAGGGTTTTTCAGGGAAGATGAGTCAAGTATTATTGCCTCGTCATTTACATCAGGTATAACTCCCAATGCAATCCCTCCCCACTCTCCCCTCCCCATGATAGGCCCCGGTGTGTGATGTTCCCCTTCCCGAGTCCAAGTGATCTCATTGTTCAGTTCCCACCTATGAGTGAGAACATGCGGTGTTTGGTTTTCTGTTCTTGTGATAGTTTGCTAAGAATGATGGTTTCCAGCTGCATCCATGTCCCTACAAAGGACACAAACTCATCCCTTTTTGTGGCTGCATAGTATTCCATGGTGTATATGTGCCACATTTTCTTAATCCAATCTGTCACTGATGGACGTTTGGGTTGATTCCAAGTCTTTGCTATTGTGAATAGTGCTGCGATAAACATATGTGTGCATGTGTCTTTATAGCAGCATAATTTATAACCCTTTGGGTATATACCCAGTAATGGGATGGCTGGGTCATATGGTACATCTAATTCTAGGTCCTTGAGGAATCGCCATACTGTTTTCCATAATGGTTGAACTAGTTTACAATCCCACCAACAGTGTAAAAGTGTTCCTATTTCTCCACATCCTCTCTAGCACCTGTTGTTTCCTGACTTTTTAATGATCACCATTCTAACTGGTGTGAGATGGTATCTCATTGTGGTTTTGATTTGCATTTCTCTGATGGCCAGTGATGATGAGCATTTTTTCATGTGTCTGTTGGCTGTATGAATGTCTTCTTTTGAGAAATGTCTGTTCATATCCTTTGCCCACTTTTTGATGGGGTTGTTTGTTTTTTTCTTGTTAATTTGTTTGAGTTCTTTGTAGGTTTTGGATATTAACCCTTTGTCAGATGAGTAGATTGCAAAAATTTTCTCCCATCTGTAGGTTGCCTGTTCACTCTGATGGTAGTTTCTTTTGCTGTGCAGAAGCTCTTTAGTTTAATGAGATCCCATTTGTCAATTTTGGCTTTTGCTGCCGTTGCTTTTGGTGTTTTAGACATGAAGTCTTTGCCCATGCCTATGTCCTGAATGGTACTACCTAGGTTTTCCTCTAGGGTTTTTATGGTATTAGGTCTAACATTTAAGTCTCTAATCCATCTTGAATTAATTTTCATATAAGGAGTAAGGAAAGGATCCAGTTTCAGCTTTCTACTTATGGCTAGCCAATTTTCCCAGTACCATTTATTAAATAGGGAATCCTTTCCCCATTTCTTGTTTCTCTCAGGTTTGTCAAAGATCAGATGGCTGTAGATGTGTGGTATTATTTCTGAGGACTCTGTTCTGTTCCATTGGTCTATATAGTTGATGGGTGGTGACGAGTTGATGGGTGCAGCACAGCAACATGGCACAAGTATACATATGTAACAAACCTGCACGTTATGCACATATACCCTAGAACTTAAAGTATAATAATAAAAAAAAGGAAAAAAAGAAAAAAAAGAAATCACTTGATCATTAAAAAAAAATAGTATTATTCCCTCTAATTAAAAATATAGCATGTAAAAGCAGAAAAAATACATTTTCTTCAATTCCCTCATTTTATAAATAACAAAACTATTACTCCAAGTAGTAGTAGTAATAATAGCAACAATAATGCATTTTTGAAGTAACACACACCAGATACTGTGCTAATTTAGTTATTGTAACTCAAGCCTGAGGCAATTATTATTATTATTATTTTATAGACAAGAAACTGAGTCTTTCAGAGGTTCAGTGACTTGATCAATGTCACACTTTCAATGAACTAGATTCCTGATTCCAGAATTTGTACCATTAACCCATCTCATCCTTTTGTCCAACAAGTAACCATTACAGGAAAAGAGACCAAATTTCTTATTTCCTAATCCTAAAAGACACTCATTTTTGTTACATGACTGGTATACATGATACATTCTATCATGGTCTTTATGGACTTAAGGTAACACAAATCTGTTTTTGTATAGCCAAACAATTGTGGATTGTTTCAGTGTCAGGTGCAGTTGTCACTTTACTTGGGTGCCTGAAAATTTTCTCCCACAGCTGAAACTTGCTCCCTCTTCTGGCCTCCCCACTGCCCCTGTGTTAACACCAGCCATGTTTATGTTCCTACAAAACAATCTCGATTCTCATTTATTATGTTGTGGAGAAAATTGCTGGTTTCTCTACTCATAACTTGTTCCTTTTTCATGGTAATACAATTTTGATAAAAGGGCCCGTGACTGAATTGCCCCAGCCCTGCCCCAGTATTTATAACAGTATTTGGCACATGGTAGTTTCACAAAATATTTGTTAACTGATGAAAATGGTTAAAGTGATCAAATTTTCAATCGTTGATTAGATAGATAGGAGAGGTACACATCTAAGTATTCTTAAATTCTTCTCAGAATAATGTTGAGATGTTTCAGACACAAAATGAAGTTGTAGTTTAACACTGAAGAACTTTGGTTAAGACTGTGCAAGTTAGAGCTCTGAGTGCATCAAGAGAGAATAATTGTTGGCGTGAGAGAATAATTGTGCTACTTATTGTCAGGAGTTTACTATGTATAGAAGTCATGGGCCTCACATTATAAAGGGTAACCTGCAATTCTTTGAACACAGACTGTTTTTCAGTTGCAAATTAAATAATTTTTATCTGTAATAATAATGTGTTAGGTTTAATTTTTAAGGTCATTCTCTACAAGACACTAAATAACTTCATGTGATTTTTTTCTGGGTTTTATGATGTAAATGTGCTTATCGGTGACTGTGATAAGCTATGAGAACTACTTATTTAGCACACAGAAATATAGATAAGACTCATTCCACATAGCAAGAAAGTAAGCTTTTCTGATTCTACTCCTAAAGTCCTCTCCATGATAGAAAGAAGGTAACTTAAGAGTTGTTTACTTGAATCGTGCAAATATTGTCTTCTCTTAAACGCTTCTGGAGGTTCCCAAGTAAAATTAATAATCTCTGCTCCTGAATTTTGACAACCCTTAGCTCATATGCTCATATCGTAGCTACCACATTTTATTACAGTTCATTTTAAGTGCATGTTTCATAATGCTAGACTATGAATAGGTTGAAACCAGTCACAGTGTCTTAACCATTGTTGCATCTTTGATTATTACATAATATTAAGTATTTTGCTAGATACTGTAGAAAACACAGTAAAAAGCATAGTATTTCCTGTCCTATTTGTTCACATTGGGACACACACCTCACACACCCAGAGATATACACAGACCACACTGACCCACCAAACTCATCTCATGCCTGTAGCACATACTCCAAGATGCATACATCTGTCTCAGGGTCCAGGACAACTCAGACTTTTTAAATTGATTAACTTTAATCTTTAATTTATGGGTATATAGTAGGTGTATATATTTATAAGATTTTGTAGTTTGACGTTTATCTGTGAATTTTTAAAGAAATTTGAGATTGAATGGCGTATCACTGAAATTAAGCAATGATATTAATAAATTAATTGAATTCTCATATTTCCCTAAATTGTATAAAACCAAGCTGCACCTTTACCACCTTGGGCACATGTTCTCAGGTCCTCCTGAGAGCTGTGTCATGGGCCACAGTCACTCATATTTGGCTCAGAATAAATTACTTCAAATATTTTACAGACTTTGACTCTTTTTGCCTTCCTGGCTGAATCACGTCTTAATGGTCGTACCTCTTGACACCATCACAATGACAATCAAATTTCAACATCAGATTTGGAGTCAACATGCAACCCATAGCACACAACCAAGTAAAGACGAGGCAGAGATTGTTACTATGCTGCCTCAAGCCAAGGAATGCCTGGGGTTACTAGAAACTAAAAGAAGAAACAAAGAATTCTCATCTAGAGTTCAGAAAGGAGGATGGCCTTGCAGAAACCTTGATTTGGGGTTTCTAGCCTCCAGACCTGTGCAAGAACACATTGTTGTTGTCTTAAGCCACTCAGTTTGTGGTACTATGTTATGGCAGCTGAAAAAAACTAATACTTTACTCTTCAATTTGGAACCGTCATTTATATTAGCCTTTATTAGTCTTCTTGTCTAAAGCCCAGGAGGGTAGGCTGTTTTTCCTTCTCCTCTGGGACCTCTTCAAACTGATACAACCTTTCTAAGCCTCAGTAGCTCATTTTAAAATTAAACATTTTTGTAAATTTTGATTGATTCTGCCTCCTCCTCAGACCATCAGGTAATAGTATCATTCAGTATTCATATCATTTTGTTTGTTCTCCAAGAATAGTATACAGTATCAACAGCATGATAGACATCAAACATGTGAATGAATAAATGAAAAAAGACATTTATTATATTATAGTTGAAGAGTGAAGTAGATTTGGGGTTATGTTGCTTTATAATCACCCCAACATAAAGCTCTGTTCTTGGACTCTGACAGCAACCATACATATCACTTGGTTCTAGGCTACTCTTTCCTACCCCACTCTATTGTAAGTTCCTCAAATCCTCAAATTTTCAAAGAATCTTTGAAATATGAAGAAGTATGGCCTTCTACTTCAAATAATCCTGAATCTTGAATTTGCATATGAAATTGAATCTTTTTTTGAATAATATTTTCATTTACAAGTTAGAATGAATAAAAGTAGTCCAGGGGACCAATGGGGAGATGACTGAAACCCCCAGGGCCCAAAATGGAGCAGAAGGAAAAAGGGAAAACAGAGTAGGAAAAAAAAAAAAAAAGTCAAGGTAAAAAAAAAGCTCCCCCTTCTTCCCTCCCCATGGAGCCTGAGGGGACCACGGCCCACCCTCCCCCCATCCTTACCTAGCTTAAAATAAATTAGAGCAAACAACCTCAAAACAGAGCCCTTAGACTAAGTGAATAGGGCAGCTATGGCCTCAGGTAACTCCAGATCAGGACTTTGCACACTCCCACCCTATACCCCCTTGCCCTGCCCCATCTGCATGGGGGCTCTGTGTCCAAGAGGTCACTCCCCAATGGGGCTGGGAATTCAGTGTTACTTTGTCCATGTCCCTCCTTCAGTAAATGATCCTGCATACCTCCCCCACTGCAGAGCCAGCTCTCCTAGAGGGGGCCAGGGGGATGAGATGAAGAAATGTCACAGCAAAGGGGGAAGGGGCAGGTGGGGCAGGGTGGTCTAGGGGTTCGGTCCTGCGGAGCCTTCCTGCCCCATCTGGCCTGACCCCTTAGCCTGAGTCTGAATCACTGGTGTCTGAAGAAGAGGCTGATGAAGAGGAGGAGTTGGAATCTGAGCTGGAGCTGGAAGCGCTAAGGCGTGACGCTGCTACTTGCTGTGCAGAGGATGACCGTGTTTTCTCACTCGCTTTCTTGGGGGGCTTTTTAGTAGAATTGAGCTGTCCGCTGACATCTTGTAACCGCTTTTCTAATTCCTGCTTTTTCTCCAAAGTCAGTTCCTCCTTTGCCTTTCCCACAGGCTTCTTAATGGTGTAGGGCTTCCGGGGCTGCTTACGCAGGCAGGAGAGGACATAGCGCTCAAGCTGTCTAAGTGTGGATGGCTTGAGTGTTTCAAAATGAATCTCAGTCTCTTCTGGGTTTGAATCACGTAAAGAGGGCTCCCTGGCTTGGATTATATGCACAACTCGGCCCAGCTTCTCCCCAGGTAATTTGTTGATGTACAGGCTCAGCTGCCGCTTCTCATCGTGACTCATGGGCCTGCTCTCTTCCTCCTCCTCTGAATCATAACCTGTAGGCAGGGCAGGTGGGGCTCTCTTTGTGGCCTTTTTGGGGAGCTTGGTGCCACTTCCTCCAGAAGGTCCGAAGCCAGAAGGGTCTAAAGCAGCGCTGCCATCCCCACTGCCACATGCTTTCTTGGACTTCTTGGGCTGAGGTGGGTGGGGTCCCCAAGGCCCCTTGTCATCTTCATCGGCCCCAGCTTGGCCTTGATGCTTCTCCGCCTTCCGTTTCTTCTTTTTCTCTTTTTTCTGTCTTTTCCTTTTGGGCTTGGATGTTGGACCCTAGGACAGAGCAGCCTGTTGTTCATGTACTGCCTGAAGCTTTTCCTGTAGTTCTGCTAAGCGTTGAACCCTTTCTTCCTCTGAGTCTGAGCTTTCACTCTCTTCTTCTTCCTCATCTTTCTCCTCCTCTTCCTCAGAGGAACTCTCACTGCTGCTTTCCTCACTGGAGGACTCTGAAAAATGATTTGGCCAAGCCAGGGGGCATGGCAGTAGAGACTGGTAAATGCCCTGGTTCTAGTGGTTCATCTGGCATCTTGGTATAACAGAACTCAAAACCATCCTGTAGCTGTCCTGCCATTGCCGCAATCTCGTGATCTGGGGGACTATACTGATAGCAGCTGGAGAACATAAGCTGCACATCAGCAGCAAACTCCTGTGCATCCCAGAAATCATGGTTCTCCATCTTCCGCTTGACAGTGCTGAGGTCCATGGGGTGCTTAATGGTGTCATGGTAGTCATGCAGGCCAAGTGCAGAAGCATCCACTGTTTTATAGAAAGGCCAAGCATAGGCAGCATGCTTCTTAGAGAGTAGCTCCTTCAAAATGACACTGCAATGTTTTAATTGTTCTGAAAGCTTTCCTTTCTTAGAGCTCTGCTGTGGTTGCTGAGAGTCAGGCAAGAAATTGACATCTTTTTAAAACGCATGATGATCATGTGTATTGGGGTCCTCCAAGGAAACAGAATAGCCTATTAATATTTATTTACAATATTTATATATATACACACAAACATATACACACATATAAAATATATATACACACATATATACACATATATATGTATAATGTCTACGTGATATATAGGAGATATATACACACATTTTTATTACACACACATATATGAGGAGATTCATTATTAAAATTGGTTCATGTGATTATAGGGGCCAAGAAGTCCCATGATATGCTATCTGCAAATTGAAGGACCAGGAAAAATGGTGGTGTAATTCAACTTGAGTCTGAAGGCCTTGTAAGTAGGGCTCCTGATGGTATAGCTTCTAGTCTGAGGCTGTAAGCCTGAGAAGCAAGGTTGCAGGTGTGGGTGCTGGTGTAAATCCCAGAGTCCAAAGGCCCAAAATCCAGGAATTGATGATTGAGGGCGGAAGAAGACAGATGTTCCAGCTTACGCAGGAGAGAATTCACTCTACCTCCACCTTTGTGTGCTGTGTGGGCCCTCAGCAGATTGGTTGATGCCCACCCACATTAATGAGGGTGACCTTCTTTACTGAGACACTGATTCACATGCTCATCTCTTCCAGAAACACTCCCACAGACATGCCCAGAAATAATATTGCACTAGGCATCTGGGGCTCCCTTAACCCAGTGGAGTTGACACCCTAAAATTAACCAACACAATGTGTCATTTCAGAGAGTAACCATTAATAAATCTAGTGGTGATCAGAGGTAAGAAATTATAGCTAACATCTAAGGTACAGTTGAGGAATAATAAATTACATAAAATGACACGGGAATAAAAAAATGCACTTTTTGTCTGTCTCCATTGGTCTTCCAACAATACACTAAACAGGAAATAAAATTGATATAAGCAGCTAAATCTCATTAATAGTTTTATTGAACTTCCAGGTCAATGCCAACAGAGTTATATAATCAAACAGAAGTTAAAAACCTTAATTTACTCTGTTAAAGAGCTAATCTTATTATAGATTTTATGAGCAAAAAACTCGTATCTGATAGTGTAGCACCAAGGATGATTCAGCACAAATAAGAATACAGAAGATAGCATTGTCAATACTTCCCAGAAGCTAAATACAACAAGCCCTGAGTGACGGTTAGCCAGGTGATGAAGAGCAATAGTAAAGTTATAGGAAACTAGTGGTTAGATATGATTCTAGCGGGTGCAAGGTCTACAAAGAAATAAAGAATTGGGGACCTCAAGAGTATTTAGAGGACTTCCTTACTACCTAAATTCAAAAATACACACACAACCTTCCCTTATTGTATCACTCTATTTCAAATTAAATTACCAGTAAATATGGATTCTTTTCCAGATCAGGTATGAAGTGACATTAAGCATCTCAGTTAAAGAGTTCAGTTTCTATTGTCAGACCATGGTTGAACCCTGGTTCCATGACTTATTTTATAAAACTGGACATGTTTTATTTTTGTTTTGTTTTGTTTTTACTTGTTCTGTTTTTCAGTATGACTTAATAATATCCAATTCATTGTCTGTGAATATGGAAAGATCTATTAGCTATTAATATTCATTTCATCGTCTGTGATTATGAAAAGAGATATTACTAGTAATCATTTCATTATATGTGAATATCAAAAAGATATTATACAATAAGTATGTATAGTAAATGCAAAATAATTGTCAAATACACTCCATTAATCATTTGTAATTATCAAATAATATAATCCTATTAAAATATGTCTCTCTGTTATGTATCTCACAAACTACACACAGCACAACATAGATAAAATCATTAATGCATTCCTATAAACAATAAAAGAAAATAAAATCTACGATGTAAGCTTCATCAGACAATTCCAGATAGATGCATTTTTCACCAACCAGAGAATGAAGAGAAACATTCCCAGAAAAGATGCAGAGTTGAAAAGTGCATGCTATATGTGGGAATAGTAAACACCTTCAACCTGATGAGAGAGAAACTGGGGAAAGTCAACATGAGAAACCTCCCTTAACTGCTTGGCTTACAAGGCAAGGAGAAACTTAAGAATTTTCTCTTAGAAATGATACTATGGGAAGTACATCTATAGAGAAAGAGCCAACTGTTATATGTGTGGGGTTTTCTCAAAATTATGTACATATATAATATCCTATTGTATATCATTATATACATATACAAATATATTGTATATATGTATGTACTATATACATATATAATGCCACTGTATATAATTAAATACATGTGTATATTATATGTATATAATTAAATACATGTATATTTTATGTGTATATAATTAAATACAGTGGTATATAATTAATATAGTGGTATAACGTATATATTATACATATATGTATATAATTATATACAGTAGTGAAATGTATGCATATAATTATATACCATGGTATTCTATGTGTATATGATTATATACATTCTATACATTATACCACTGCATATAAATATATGCATATAATGTATATATAATATACATATGTACAATATAATATACATATATGTGTATTATATATTATATTATACAGTGGTATATGTAATATGTGGTATAATAATATATCATTGAATATTAGATGCCTAATATACTGTGGTTTCATATATGGATATAATTTACATACATAGTTTGTATGCATATACATCTATACATATGTAGTATACACATGCATAATACATACACATAATACAGTGTTCTATATACACATATATGCAAATACATATATATGTATATCTAGATACATATACACGTTATAAATATATAACATACATTTATCACTGTATATAATATAGATGCATAGTTTATCGGTAATATAGATACAGTTCATATATATTATACCACCATATGTACTATAGTAGTTTATTATATATATTATTATAGATGTATAGTTTATTATATTGTTATATTGTATATATTGCATTATATATAGTAACTTTATGCATACATAATACATGTATGTATAAAATACACTCATATACATATACCACTGTATATACTTTATAGATGTATAGTATATGTGCTTTATCACAGTAATTATAGGTACATATATGAGAGGCATGTTTGTGTTTTTGTGTGGTTTGTGATTGTGATTACTTGGCGTAGAGTTGTTTTTTGACCATTAGTCTTCAATTCTGACTTGTGTGCATATGAGACACAGAATCCATAGGCATAAGTCACAGAAATAAGAATGTAATCTATCGGGCATTTTAGAGAAATGCTATAAAAAAAACCCCTAAAAACAGTTAAAAAATGGTATTCGTAACCCTAAAATCAGAAATTGCTACAGAAAACCATAGAGATTGTTAAAACAAAATCAAAGATTTAGTTCTTGAGGATCCGGAATTTGGGCATGTAAGCATATCAGCGAATTACTAGCTAATGTAGTTAACAAGAATAAGAAAGGATGAAAGCATACAATATCGTGAATTTTATTTCTCCCCCATGAAATTCACAAACAGGTATTCCAGATCATAGTAGGGAGTTCTGTTCCATACTGTCTTTCAGGGTGTTAAGTTGCCGAGCCTACTGTCCTCTACAATATATAGTTTACACGGTCACCTTGAGCATCAATATCCAGCTGTCAGGTGTTGGAGAAAGAATGGGGAAGCCATCTACATTTTTTAAACACGTTAGCCTAGAAGTTTTTCATGTAAAACTCACACATCCATGCCATTTGTGAGAACTAGTCACACTGTAGTAGTGTTGGGAAATGTCATTTTTGACAGCCACTTTCAAGCAAGAACTCTACCTTATGGAGCGATAGATTGACATTGAAAATATATACAAAATCTGAGGACTTTATGGTAAAATAGCAAAGGATAAGGCACCTGCTGCACATAAATTATGATTTGTTAATTTCAAAGTCAGTTACACTGCAAATGAATGCACTAGAACTTCTAAGGGGAACAGTTTGTTCTACCATGAAACCCAAAAATACAAAACAAAACTCAAAGGAAAAAGAAGTAAATATATCTCTATAAATGTTCAAAATATTCTAAAAGTAATTTACTGAAATATATTTAGAGGAGCACCATCTACGTTCCAAAACACCAGTGGGATTGTGTCATCACTTTCTGATTGTCGTTTAAAATGGTAAGATATACATAAGATCTCAAATGGATATCAGAGGATATTAGTCATTTATAACTGAATTTTATTTAATGTATTAGTATACACTTGAAAATGAAAACTCAGGCAGTATACAATAATTAATGTTGCTTAGACTTTATAATATATTCTACATGATATATTCCATTATCAGGAATGTTGTTTTCCATTTTAACAATGATTAATGGTGAAATCATATTCTACTTAAATATTTTGCAACAGTAACATAATCTTACTTACTCTAGGGGCAAAAAACTTACTCTAGGGGCAAAAAACAAACAAACAAAAACACATAGAGAACACTGCAGTTGTTTTGAAAACATAATTGAAAGAACGGACTTAGGAAATTTTAAAGAACCATAAAAACTTCCCCGGTTACAAAATATGAATATGACATTGTGTAGAAAGGAAAAACTGTAGATGGTATTGTCAACACGTTTTCACCATTTCAGATTTTGTGACCCAGAGGGTCTTGTTTTTATATACTTCTCTTATCTGGACACCATTAACCCTTTTTCAATTATCTATTATTTTGTACTTACTGAAAATATAAATAACACATTTCTACAAAATTGTCTAAAAAGTTTGTTAGTTTCCACCTCTTCTAATGAACTAGAATCTCATAATACATTTTAAGTTCTTATTTATTTAAAAATGCTCTACTCATCGGTTTGCTCATGGCCTCCTTTACGTCTTTATTCCTGAGACTGTAAATCATGGGGTTCAACATAGGAATGACTGTGGTGTAGAAAACAGCCACCATTTTCCCCTGCTCCACAGACTCCTCAGTTGGGCTTCTAAGGTACATAAAGAAGAGTGTTCCATAAAATATGGTGACAGCTGTCAAGTGGGACCCACACGTGGAGAAAGCTTTCTTTCTCCCTTCTGCTGAACGCATCCTTAAGATGGCAATGAGGATGAAAATGTAGGAGATAATAATGACCAATAAGGAGTAAGAAAAGTTGAGACCTGCCAATGTGCGCATAGTGTATTCTTTAATCAAAGTCCCTGCACAGGCCATTTTGATGAGAGCTGGGTCTGCACAGTAGAAGTGGTTGATCTCGATGTTCCCACAGAAGTACAAACCATGGGTCCACAGTGTTGAGATCAAACTGATAAAGAAGCCGTATATGTAAGGGAAAGAAATCAGTCGAATACAGACAGTTCTTGACATTCTGCTGCCATAAAGTAGAGGGTTTCCAATCGCCATGTATCTATCGAAGGCCATCACAGCAAGAATGAAGACTTCTACATGGACAAAAGCAATGAAGAAAAAACACTGCACTATACATCCAGGATAGGAAATTGTTTTGGTCTCAGATACCAAATTTTCCAACATTTTAGGAGTGACATTAGAGGAGAACCACACATCTGCAAAAGACAGGTGACCAAGGAAAAAGTACATGGGGCTGTTGAGCTGGGGACTGACCCTGATTAATATGATCATGCCAATGTTCCCAACCAGGGTGATAAAGTAGACCAGCAGGAAAATCACAAAGAAAAGTTGCTGTAATTCAGGATGACTAGTTAATCCCAAAAGAATGAATTCTGTTACATCAGTGAAATTGAGCATTTTCTTAAATCTGATCCAGAGATAGATGCATTTTTATCTAATAAAACAAATATAAATAAGTAAATACACGGAATATTATTCTACATTTATATTTTCCTGACTCATTTGCTTTCAGTATCTTTGCTATTTTTCCTTATATCTCTCTTCTCTTCTTTCTCATACATCTTTTCTCAGCAGTATTTATGCCATATATATATATATATATATATATATGCACGATTTTTTTTTTTTTTTTTTTTTGAGAGGGAGTCGCACTCTGTCTCCCAGGCTGCAGTGCAGTGGCGTGATCTCGGCTCACTGCAGGCTCCGCCTCCTGAGTTCACGCCTTTCTCCTGCCACAGCCACCCGAGTAGCTGGGACTACAGGCGCCCATCACCACGCCAGGCTAATGTTTTCTGTTTTTAGTAGAAATGAGGTTTCACCGTGTTAGCCAGGATGGTCTGGATCTCGTGATCTGCCCGCCTCGGCCTCCCAAAGTGCTGGGATTACAGGTGTGAACCACCGCGCCCGGCCATATATATGCAAGATTTTACGTCAGAAAGTGGTAAAATAATACAGAAACATAGTGATACAACTTACGATGTCTAGTTTTTGCATGCCTAAAAATAGAGATTTCAGAAGCACCATTTATATTTTTGCCATATTCTGGAAAGACAAAAACCTTTTAACACTGGCCCTAACTTTAAAAAGGGCTAACATTTTACTTATTCACTATATTTGTAGAGCTTAGATGATCTATCACATATTAGAACTTCATTTAAAGCTACATGCAAAAAAAAAAACTATTCCATAATTAGTAAGTTAAATGGTGCCTTCATTTAATCATCCTGCAAAATTTAAATGTTACTTAGAAAAAAACGACTTAATAAAAACTGTATACATGTATTAACATAAACTCATTACACATATCAAAAGAGAATAGTTCTTAATTAGGCAATTATTAATTTTATTTAACTCAACCTTAAAAAATTAAATCATTGCCAGCCATATCCCCGTTGTAAACAAGTCTGATAAACGTGAACTCAAGCATCATTTCTTCTTTAGAATCTTATCCTCTCCTGGCTCTAAAGCACTAACAAATTCTATGCCAGTCTCTTCTTTTCTCTCTGTCTTAGAAGGGTGAGTAAGATAAGATGAATAAAATACTGGGTGAAGAACTACATTATTATTCTCTAAGTATATAAGCTTAATTAATAAAATGTGTAAAATGTACCAGCAAGCTAGAGACATTTGTTAAGACGTTAGGGGAAAGGTGTGTTTGGTTTTTGACTGCATCAGTTTAAGACAGTTAGCCATCTAGATTCTGGATACCTTCTAGCATACTCTTATACTCTAGTTTAAATATCTTGAGCTAATTTACAAGCAGCAATTTTCTACATATGCTACATTTATTCATGGGCCAAGAGTATGCATAACCAGTCATTTTTTTCTATAAAACTATCCTATATGTGCCACCTAAAAGCAAGTTAGAAAAATATGATTATCACTTCCCAGGTGGTCTCCATTGATGTTGAGCTGAGAAAGAGTAAAAAATAATGATTCAGGTGATCCATTTGTTGTTTTAGATATTATATATTAACAAAATTGAAACATTTTATTAGTATCAAAATGGCTAGAGGTTCTTGGGTTTAATTCCAAGCTCTGCTACTCTGCTACCTACTAGGTGTGCATGTGACCTTAGACCTAACCCCTGTGCTTCAGTTTCTTCATGGGGAAATAGGGATAATGAAAGAGTGTGCCTTAAGGAGTTGTTATGACAATTAACAAAGATAATGTACATAAAAGGGTAAACTGAGGAAAATGCCAAGCTGTGTGTTGTAGTTCTTACTCAGTTATATTTTTTTTTAACATTTTTGCTCCGATTTTCTTATTTGTAAAAGTTATCATGTAGGTTAAACCCACTGACTTTCACTAATATTAAGCATTCTATATAAATCTGCTAAAATCCCAATTTTATTTTGCCATTCTCTTTTATGCCTTTAGGAAAAAAAAATAGTTAACACTTTTGTTTTTCCTTAATCATCATGTGACCAAAGAAGAGCCATAAGAAACCTGTTGTGTTTCTCAGAGTTTTTGTGAAGAATATTTCATTTCACTACACGATTTGAGTGTCCAATAATGGTTAAGAAAGTCATGCACTTGTGTGAAGAAGACTCTGAACTTCAAGGGTTAAGAGAGTTACACATAAAAATCTCATATTAGAATTGTGTGTTCCTTGAATTACTATAAACATAATATTCAGGATAATATGAGTAAAAACGTTTAATATGAATCTCAAATGTTCTTGGAAGTTGAATTTTTTTGGTTTGTTTTTTCAAAATGGAAATGACTTCGGTAGAAATACCTAGAAAAAGACTTTGGCTTTTAGTTTCTAACATTCTCTGGCCTTGTTTTTTGAGTACCTTATGTTAGTGTGTCATGTATTCAGAAGGAGAAAATACAAGAAAAAAGTAAATGATATTGGTCTTCAAGCATATAAGTGCTGAGTGTATCAATAAGTAAAGTCAAGCCAAATGAGTTGAGTCTCCAAGAAGGCTTCAAATCTGAATAGACATTTAATGACAAATTTAAGTTGGGGAACAGAATGAGATTCAAACTGCTGACCCTCTCATAAAATCCATCGAAGTTTACCATCAGTTGTGGTGAGATATAAGTAGGGTGAACAACTGCCACTCAGTTTGTCTCCAAACTTCCTAGTTTAGGAATGTAAGATTTGCATCTTGGTAAACCCCATGATCTTAGGCATACCAAGAAGGTTGGTCACCCTAGGAAGTGTCAGAGCCCGTTTATATAAACTGCAAGGGACTTACAGGCATCGTCAAAGTGCTACCTGTAACAAGGCAGGGAATTATAGGCGATGACACAGAGCTGACTAGTTCTCTCAGGCTGTGTCCATATGAAGTTCCAGCCAGTTATGATGGAGAAAGAAGAATGAAAAAAGGACCTAATGGTTTCTAAGTAATGTAGAATCATTTATTAATGTCTGTGGACAAGAAGGCTTCTATATCAGTAATTGAGTTTGCAAACATATTGTTGATATTGTATAGATGCTCGTCCTGCATAAAAGTTTGATTCAATGACTCTGTACATGTGTATGAGAGAGAGACAGAGACACAAAGAAATAGAGAAATTGATATCACTTGTATTACCAAGACAATACCTTCAGTAAATGAAACAGAAACCATTATTTTTTGGGTTACCACTTAGTGACACTTGATGAGAAGGATTTCTGTTGTTCAGATAAAGTAATATAGATTTCTTTCACTAATTGAATTGTAGCTCTCGCACTGGGGGCCTCAAGTCCAAACCACCATCCACATCTAACTTCTATTGCCACAGACAAGTCTTTCTAATTCCACTTCCTACGCACCTTCCATAGAATAAGAAACCTTCCCGCTAGGAATGAGGACAGCTTAGAGAATTGACACTTTAGACAGATTTTATAAAAACACATTGATTTTCCCTGTGCATATACCTACCTGTGCATGAGAAAAAAATCATCTTGGAGGCATCCCATCTGCCATGATCAATGAATAATTCAGAAGGATTTATAAGCGTTGGATTAACCACTATGGGGCTTTCTCGGTGGGGAATACAGATAGAACCCTGAAGTAATTAAAATGTCACCTATTGCATCATCTGTAATGTAAAGTGAATCTCAAGAGCAAAATGTCTCTAAACAGAACTAGACCTTTTAAAAACAAGGGCTTGAAAAATTTGAGGTTTTGCTTTCTTCCTGTTTAAAATGTTTTCTATGTATCCTAGGGACTGTATTGCATTTGTTTGGAGGGGAAAAATTGTCTTGTTTTCCCATGTAATAAGAATCATGTCAATATCACATCAGTCACAAAATATATTTGGAATAACTTATACTTCACAATAGGCACACTAGCACTTTTTCTGTATTAATGAAGAAAGTTTCTTCCCTTTTTGAGTAAGAAAGTTAGTAAAAACTGAGAGAATAAAGGAGGATACATTTCCTATGAATAGTCATCGATGAACCCTAAATGGGCTTCTCCTTTCTGAAACGAGAAATATAATTCTCTAAAACCAACTTAATTCCAAGGTTAGGGTTGATCATTTCCCATTGTTGTTTATGTCGTTTTGTTCTTTTTAATATTTAAAAATATATTCCTTGATGTATTGTTTTCATTGATAAAACTGATTTCTAATCGCTATTTTCTTCATGTTTATAGTTTCCACCAATTTAGGAGAGAAAAATAAATTAATGTGCTTAAGAAATATGATTTAAATTTATATTGACAAAGATAATTGTTAGAAAATGTAGTGGATATACTTTCAGTTCACAATCCCTATATCATAAAGCATGCAACTCTGTTTCTCTAATTGAGCTTGATTAATATTTTGAGGTTCTACAAAAAATTAGCTGGGCATGGTGGTGGGCGCCTGTAGTCCCAGCTACTTGGGAGGCTGATGCATGAACCCGGGAGGCAGAGCTTGCAGTGAGCCGAGACTGCGCCACTGCACTCCAGCCTGGGCGACAGAGCAAGACTCTGTCTCAAAACAAAAACAAACAACGGCAACAACAACAAAAATATATGTATATGTGTGTATATATATGTGTGTGTGTGTGTGTGTATACATAGAGAGAGAGAAGGGGGGGGAGAGAGAGAGAGGTTCTATTTTTCACATTGGTTTCTCTTACTGCTTTCCTCAGGCTGCATCTGAGTGCTAGCAGATGAATATACTCCAAAGCATTGAAAAACAATTGTTAGTTGTCGTGGTGGTGGTGGTGGTGGTGGTGGTGGTTTCTGAGATAGGGTCTTGCTCTGTCACCCAGGCTGAAGTGCAGTGGTACAATCTTGGCTCACTGCAGCCTCAACCTCCTGGGCTCAAGCCATCCTCCCACTTCAGCCTCCCGGTAAGTGGAACTACAAGCTGATGCCACCATGCCCAGCGAATTTTTTTGTACTTTTTGTAGAGATGAGGTCTTGCTATGTTGCCTAGGCTAGTCTCAAACTCTGGGGCTCCTGCCTCAG